AGTTCTTGTTAAGAACACAAGCACTTCCATACCCCCGTTTGGAACCATTTCCTGCCTCCTCTTGGTGGTTGGTTGTCTGCTATAGTCCTGTCTTTGTCCTAAGTGTCCCTGGTATCACACTGTACTCCATTCACACAGCACCTCTTCCTCTCCAGCAGCACAGTGCCCAGGGATATGAGGGTGGCCATCCTTCTAGAGCTAACAAAGAAAGGAGCTACTTCTAAGTAAGACACTTGAAAGTACCCCGCAGTTGGCCATTGATGCTCTTAGCTTTTGAATCAGGTTTTAAGACTGCTTTTAATTCAAATATCTATTTTATGAAGTTCATTATTTTAAAAAAAACAGCAAAAAGAAAACTTCACACACTAAGTTAACCAGATTCGGAGTATCTCAATGAACTTTTAATCAGTCAGAATGTCCATTCTGACGTGGTGGAGCTTCGCACTGGATTTTACACCTTCACTATCGAATACATGCATTTATTTGCCTCTAACACCGAAATCCCATGACACTGTTGGAACTAGGAAGTCAACTGACTTTATAACATAAATCTTTGTGACTGTTCTAATGATAGCACTAATTAAACTTTTTAATAGATAGTGTTACTTAAACTTTTGTTTAACTTCATCATCTCGCCCTTCTCAAAAGATTTTTTTTGCTGACATGATGAGTTTTCCTTAGTGCCTCTGTCCTTGAATTATATTTACTTGCCTTTGTAATCTCTTAACTTAATCAACTGGTTAACTTCAGAACCTTAAAACCTCATTGTAACAGTATTCCAGTTTCAGTAATGGGGGTTTATCAAAAAAGAACTCAGAGAATATTTTTTCCTGTTTATAGCCACTTTTAATTCTTTATTAATCTTTTTTATTTTTAAATTTAAATTTAAATTAGAAACAAGGTTGCTTCACATGTCAATCCCAGGTCGCTCCCCTTTCCCTCCCCTCCTCCCATGCCCTCCCACGAATCCCTCCAATGCCCTCTCATTTCCCCAGGGAGGATGAGGCCCTCCATGGGGATGTCCATAGTCTGTCATTTCATCCAGGGCAGGGCCTAGACCCTCCCCCAAGAGTCCAGGGTGAGAGTGCATCTCTCATTGTTGGATGGGCACCCAAAGTCCATTTGTATGCCTGGGATAAATACTGATCTACTACCCAAGGCCCAATAGATTGCTTAGGCCTCCGCATTGACACCCACATTTAGGACGTCTTGATCAGTTCCATGCTGGATTCCCAGACATCAGTCTGGGATTCAAGAGCTAACCCTTGTCAGGTCAGCTATTTCTGGGGGTTAAACCAGCCCAGTCTTAACCCCTTTGCTCATCAGTCCTCCCTCTCTGTCACTGGATTCCTTGAGTTCAGCTCAGTGTTTAGCTGTAGGAGTCTGCCTCTGCTTCCATCAGCCACTGAATGAGGGTTCTGTTTCCCAGACTCTCCAGCCGTGGGATTGTAGGCTGGCACTCCCCAGATCTATGTCTAAAATCCATATATGAGAGAGTACATTCCATGTTTGTCTTTTTGTGACTGGGTTACCTCACTCAGGATGGTTTCTTCTAGTGCCATCCATTTGCCTGCGAATTTCAAGATTCCATTGTTTTTTTCTGCTGAGTAGTACTCCATTGTGTAAATGTACCACATTTTCTCTATCCACTCTTCAGTTGAGGGGCATCTAGGTTGCTTCCAAGTTCTGGCTATTACAAATAATGTTGCTATGAACATAGTGGAACAGATGTCCTTGTCGTATGAATGTGCATCTTTTGGATATATGCCTAAGAGTGGAATTGCTGGGTCTTGTGGTAGGTTTATTCCCATTTTTCTGAGGAATCTCCCCAATGGTTTCTAAAGTGGCTGTATGAGTTGGCGCTCACACCAGCAGTGGAGGATTGTTCCCCTTTCTCCACTACCTCTCCAGCATAAACTGTCTTTGGTGTTTTTGATTTTAGCCATTCTGACAGGAGTAAGATGGTATCTCAGAGTTGTTTTGATTTGCATTTCTCTGATGGCTAAGGATGTTGAACACTTTCTCAAGTGCCTCTCAGTCATTTTAGACTCCTCTATTGAGAATTCTCTATGTATTCTCTAGCCCACTTTTTAATTGGATCTTTTGGTATTTTGGAGATTTGCTTCTTGAGTTCTTTGTAAATTTTGGAGATCAGCCTTCTGTCAGATGTGGGGTTAGTGAATATCTTTTCCCATTCTGTGAGCTGCCCTTTTGTCTTGTTGACTGTGTCCTTTACCTTACAGAAGCTTCTCTGTTTCAGGAGGTCCCATGTATTAATTGTGACCTCACTGTCTGTGCTATTGGTGTTACGTTCAGGTACCAGTTTGTTCAAGGGTACCACCCACTTTCTCTTCTAAAAGGTTCAGTGTGGCTGGATTTATGTTGAGGTCTTTGATCCATTTGAACTTAAGTTTTGTGCATGGCGATAGACATGGATCTATCTGCATTCTTCCACATGCCAGCATCCAGTTATGCCAGCATCATTTGTTGAAGATGCTTTCTTTTTTCTATTGTATATTTTTAGCTTCTTTGTCAAAGATCAGATGTTCATATATGTATGGGTTCATATATGTCTATTTTTGTGCCAATACCAAGCTGTTTTCAGGACTACAGCTCTATAATAGAGCTTGAAGTCAGGGATGGTGATGCCTCCAGATGTTGCTTTGTTGAGTAAGGTTGTTTTGGCTATCCTGGGTCTTTTGTTTTTCCATACAAAATTGATTATTGTTCTTTCGAGGTCTGTGAAGAATTGTGCCAGTATTTTAATGGGGATTGCATTGAATCTGTAGATTGCTTTTGGCAGGATTGCCATTTTTTTTGTTTGTTTTTTACGAGACAGGGTTTCTCTGTGTTGTTTCGGAGGCTATCGGTCCAGCCCGGCCTCGAACTCACAGAGATCCGCCTGCCTCTGCCTCCCGAGTGCTGGGATTAAAGGCGTGCGCCACCACCGCCCGGCAGGATTGCCATTTTTTACTACATTGATCCTACCTATCCAAGAGCATGGGAGATCTTTCCATTTTCTGATGTCTTCTTTAATTTCTTTCTTTAAAGACTCAAAGTTCAGCCGGGTGTTGGTGGCGCACGCCTTTAATCCCAGCACTTGGGAGGCAGAGGCAGGTGGATCTCTGTGAGTTCGAGGCCAGCCTGGTCTACAAGAGCTAGTTCCAGGACAGCCTCCAAAGCCACAGAGAAACCCTGTCTCGAAAAACCAAAAAAAAAAAAAAAAAAAAGACTCAAAGTTCTTGGAATACATGTCTTTCACTTGTTTAGTTAGAGTTACCCCAAGGTATTTTATGTTGTTTGTGGCAATTGTAAAGGGTGATATTCAGAGAATATTCTTAAACTTACATTGAGAAGCATGGCTAGTCTTCACAGACTTAATAGAATTTCTGTACCAAGGTAGTTAATTATTTTGCACAAAGAGTAAAATTTTGCTATTCTTTTTCTTCAATTATAAAACTATTAAGAAGCTTCTGGAAAACTTGCTGATATTGAACCAGCAGTCCACTTGCCTTGTATAAAATAAATCAATAAAACTAGTCTTTAATTTGTTCAAATATCTATTTTAAAATTTTTTCCAATACCAGTTGCATACCTTCATCCTTGCTTTTCCCATACCTGTGACTTAAAGTCACACAGCTTTTAATTATTTCATATTTTACAGAATTGTATTCCCTATTGGCTATAGTTTTTTTATCTAGCAACTTCTTTTGTTCTTGTGTATTCCTGAACATTCTGTGTCTTAAAGATCTTTTTTTATATTACATTTGGAACAAAATCCCCAGTGAAAATAACAAGAAATCCAGTAGGGAGAAGGCTTAGCAAAAGCTCATTACCATATACGGCAGAAGTCTCTCCCCTTGCTCCTGTCAAGGCTGTGTTCCCAGGATCCAGCTGCTAACAGACTTAGAGTCTCTCCCTCCATGGAGGAGCAGCTGAATTGACAATAAATTCTAGCCATTCACTGCCTTTTAAGGTTGTCAGATGTGTCTGTCCGGCCATGATTTTTTCTCCGTACCTCTTTTTTCAGTCTTTGTCCCTGTGTCCCTCCCAATTCCTTCTTTCTTTCCTCTTTTACTTTTATTTAATCCTGAACTTATGAAGATAAGCTGCAAATCTCATCTTAGCATGGAACTGGGTTATATTTTGTAATATAAACTGAAAATAGTTTTGGTTTTAGAAACTATGTAATCTGCTTTACAAAAAAAGGATTCATTTATATGTGTTTGTCTGTCTGTCTGAGAGTGTGAACACGTGTGTATGCACCTGTGCTCGAATGGAGGCTCAAAGACAATATCAGATCATTTGGAGTCAGAGTTACAGGTACCTGTGGAATGCTTGGCTTGTTATGTGGGTGCTGAGATCTGAACTCTGGTCCTCATCATTGTGCAGAAAGTGCTGTTAATAGCTGAGCCATTTTTCTGGACCCTGCAAGTCTCGCCCCCCACTCCTTTAAGTATATATGTTAGTTCAACTTTCTAGGTAGAACAGAAATACTTTTGCGTATATTATTTGAAGAAATTTGCAGATACTGTACTTTGTGGAAGTGATGGGAAAGCTAGTCCCAAATAGGCAAAGCTACCTTAGATTTTGAGCTTTACATTAGGAAATATTGTGAATTCCCCTTCATGCAGATAACTAAAGCAGTCCTGACTAAACATTTTGTTGTGATTTGAAATGAAAATAAAACTCGAGTTTTTCTTAGACAAGGGTATTAGTAGCTTTAGAGAGTAGAGTTTCCATCTTAGCCATCTTACTCCCTAGGTTAATCCGTTTTGCTGAACCATGCTCTGTGCTCTAACAACATGAAGATGATAAGAAGCAGCATCTCTCACTCAGATGTCCTGTCTAATGTGGTCCATGAGAATTACTCTGTGCATAGTTCTCCTACTCCACATCTGAGAACTCATCATTCTCCTTTTAGTTAATCTGGGGTCTTTGGGGTTTTTCTTCCTTTTTTAATGATGCGACTGAATCATATTATGCCTTTTCTCATACAGGGCAGCCACTGATCACAATGTGGATAATACAACAGAAATACTCAGGGAATGGCTGAAAAATGTCCAGAGGCAATATCACTACGTGGAGTGGAGGCCTATGGATGAACCAGAGTGAGTAACAGGGAAAGCTGTGTAAACCTGTCCTCCTCCAACACTGGTTTTCCAGCCATCTGGGCTTCTGATCTTGGGGGCATGCGGACTTTGATGGCCACCCTTTCTGCATCTGAGTTGCAAAATTGGCCTTTTCTTCTATTAACAGACCTTCATCACCCCCTCTGCCTCTTTATTCCTGGGCTGCTAGCCAAGTTAAGGTTTTCAACAGCTTATAAATTACAATGATGGTGTGTATTTTAACCATTGTTTTATTTATTGCTTTTTTTAGTGTGAACTGTTTTATTTTTAAGAAATCATGGTGGACGTTTGTATAGCTTCCATACATACCTTACTTTTTAAAGTTATGTCTTGAAGACTATTGCATAACAGTCATCCAGGCACTTACTCACTTTGAACTGCATGCATCTGTTATATATATCGTGATTATTTACTCAATGTTCAATGATGAACATATAGGCTATTTTAGTATTAACATAGCAATTTCTTAGTCACTTTCATATCTTAGTCTACTTACAGACTTTTTATATTAGTCTATATTCTCCTGAGAAAGAACACTAATAGGAAAAACATTATTATACATACAGTGAATATTATGTATGTGGTGGTTCTTTAGACTAGTTTACAGTTTGGAGACTAAATAATCCAACAATGTTTGTCTGTCTGCATGCTCGCCAGCCAGAGAAACCAGGAGCTTCTCAATCCGTGAAGCTGGAAGCTTTAGGACAAGAAAAATGAACTCACAGCCCCAGCTGAAGGTCTGGGAACAGCTGGAGAGTTATTGGTTTGCATCTCCATTGAAAGAGCCAAAGGTTGAATTCCATGGTGATAAAGTACAGCACTTGCTTAGCGACAACAGAGCCTCCATGTTCTGTCTGGCTTCCCCATTCTACCTTTGTTCCCCATGAGCCTCTGTCTATTACAAGGCTGCCCACATTAAGGGTGTGTCTTCCCTATCAGTGTGGCTCCAAATGCCAATCATTCCTGGAAGTGCACACACAGACACACCTCCAAGTGTACTTTACTAATCCCCTGGGGGTCTCCCAATCCGTCAAGTTGGTCATTAGGATCAATTACTACAGTGTCATACTGCCAGAGAAATCTTCCTAAGATACAAGTGAAATGATTTCATTTCTTTATTACAAAGATTCAAATGGATCTCAAGTACATACAGGGCAAAGTTCAAATACCTGAGACATGCATCCAAGATTTTCATATTTCCTGTTCTTCTGCAAAGAAAATAATGAATGCTTTATCCAGAATTTCAGTTTACTTCAACTCCTGACTCCTACTGAGGCAGGTCCTGGAAGTGTTTTTTCTCTCTTTATAACCAGCTCTGATTCTAAGTCACAGACTCTACAGAAAGTGGAGATTTTTTTCAAGTGTGTAGATCTTATCTTTACTTAGATTGTCTATATATATATATACAGACATAATATACAGACATATATATATATATTATATATGATACTTTATCTTCATGTACCAGAAGAGGGTCTCAGAACCCACTCACTAGAGATGGTTGTGAGACACCAGTGTGGTTGTTGGGAATTGAAATCAGGACCTCTAGAAGAACAACTAATGCTCTTTGTTGTTGTTGTTTGTTTTTTGCTTTTTTTTAAACAGGGTTTCTCTGTATTGTTTTGGAGCCTTTCCTGGACTCACTCTGTAGACTAGGCTGTCCTCAAACTCACAGAGATCTTCCTGCCACTGCCTCCCAGTGCTCTTAACCCCTAAGTCATTTCTCTAGCCCCTGATTGCTTATTTTCTATGCTAGTTTTTGACATAATACATTGAGCTATCCTTAATTAACCACAATTTATTCAAGCTTTTAAAAATTAACTGTGAGTTTTTGTCAGGGGATACAATATGCAAACACTTTATATTTTCCCTCCTTGCTATATTTTTAGCAGCCACCAAATCTAAACTTGTTGGATGAACAAATGAGTGAATAGAATTAAAAAAGTATCTAAAATATAAAATTATATATGTCCCCAAGTCCACTATGATTCCAACTTTAGGATTTATGCAAGTTGAATGAATAAGTAGTCTGGGTTTCTGCACAAGAAAAGCCATTTATTGAATGCCAAATATGTATAGTAATAATAACAAATGTCATTGCAGAACAAATGAATTCTTATAGACTCTATTTTTTACATATACAAACAGACATTGAATACATATGTGTATATATAAATCTATAATCCAAGTCTATGGTCTATATATTAATCAAATTTATCAATTAAGTTTGGAAACTATAAAAGATTTTAAACAGTTCTTTGGTATTTCTTGTGATAGAATTTAGCCTAACTTTAAAAAAATTACACAGGTACGCTTTGGTTCCCAGACATGTTCTCTGTAGCCAGATTTTTACTTCATAGAGTATATGCCAAGGACAGTATGAAAAAATATTTCATAAGGCATTATTTTTGGCAATATATTCAGAAAAACAGGAATTTCACTAATTTCCACAGGAACAGTAACTGAGGAAGACATTCCAGAGAATTCCTGGGCTGTAAGTAGTTTATTAATTATATAGCATTCTTTGTGTAGCAACAGTCTTAGTGTTTGTGACTTTTCAATCATTAAGGCAAACACACTACCCACACACTTCCAAGAACTTGAAATGCTGGCCAGCTGGAGTGATACCATGCATATCCATCTCAGCTGAGAGCTTTCAGATGGCATTCACTGGATCTTTGCGTTTGTGGTCAGTTAAGAGTCTTGACCTAGCCTTCTTATGAATGTCAACAGACGTCCCTAGAACATTATGTGCTTGCTCCCTCACCTCACATAAGACAGGTCAATTAAACCTCACTGAACCATTTACTGAGATTTCAAGGAGTAAGCTAAACCTTTGATTTTCTTAAGAAACTCATACCTTTACCCTGTATTTCCACATTTATTTGATAAGGCATATTAAGTATCTAACAATACAAGCTTTGGGTAGTGACTGCCTGAAATGAATTCTGGTGGTACCACTTACGGTAACATTAAACACTCTACACCAGTATCATCTCTTTGAAATTGAGAAAATAGCAAGATTACTGCATAAGGCACTTAAATCCCACTAAAGAAAAGTCAGGCACAGAGGTGATCATATACTTTATAATTAGAAGGCTGAGGCAGGCGGTTAGCTAAATGTAGGAATTCAAGTTCAACCTCGGCAATAGTGAGACTTAACCTCAAAGAAGGAAGAGAAGAACAAAGAGAAGGAGAAGACCCACTGATGTCTTTCATATAAAGACAATTGATTGCTTGATTTCTCATTGTTCCAGTTTGCTTATCTATGATACAGATGATGATAATACCAGTCCCTTGTTTCTGATTCCAAGAATGATGGAGGAATGAGTCAGTACATGCAAACACTGAGGCCAGGCTATGTCCATGCAGGCACTCAATGACTGTAAGTTCCTCTTTTAGGTCTTACCCTGATGAAATTGGACCAAAGCACTGGCCAAGCTCCCGGTTTGCCCATGTCATGAAACTGCGACAGGCAGCCCTTCGAACTGCGAGGGAAAAATGGTCAGACTACATCCTGGTAAAAACAGATGCTTCATTCCTTAACAACTGTTCCCCAAAATGTACCATAACCAAGAAGTGGTACCCATGAAGCAGTCAAAACATGCTTTTGTTTAGACATAACCTTCCCCAGGAAAGGTTCAATGGAAATTTTTGGTGATTAAACATTGCAATACCTGGACTTTATCTCAGACTCTTTTTGAGATGCATTTTCAGTGACTTGTATGGATGGCAAGACTTCTGAACTATGTGTTTCATGTCACAGGAGTAAGAAACTCTGAATCATTTTAGTAGTTGAAGTCTTAATGACTTTTGTAAGAATTTTAAAAACATATAAAATGAGATTGCAATGAACACAACTGAAACTCTGCCCCCCTTTTCCATGAGGTGATTTGGGAAATGGGATCTCCTGTTTGTCTTCCTGGATACAACCTGGTACTCAGAATTTTTCTCCTGGGGGTTCCAGCATAATCCTGAGAGCTTACATAATGGCTCAAACAAAAGCTGGGCTTGGTGACTAGGAGTCCATGCACCCTCATCCTTGATGAACCCTCTCAGTTGGAAAGGATGTCTGCTGCTTTTGGAGAAAGGAGTCACCATCTCATTTCCAGACAGGGGCTTTTTCTCCATGAGTTTGTTGAGCACACGTTTTCCACTGTGACACTAGAAATGATGCCAATATTATCATAGTACACTAGTGGGTATCCGCCTTTACTAGACTCCGATTACCATAGGAAATGAATGTTTCTATCTGTGCCACTCCCTGGTCCCTTATCTACTTAAAAAATCAGCTTGATAATGTTTTAGAAACATTGTCCACACATGCAACTTCATAGAAAATTTAAAGTTGTACCATTATATGTAATGTTATGTGAAACCACTAAAATGTTACTAAAAATATACAAATGCCGCCAGGCGTTGGTGGCGCAGGCCTTTAATCCCAGCACTCGGGAGGCAGAGTCAGGCAGATCTCTGTGAGTTCGAGGCCGGGCTGGACCGATAGCCTCCGAAACAATACAGAGAAACCCTGTCTCGTAAAAACCAAAAAAAAAAAAAAAATACAAATGCCAAACTATAAAATTTTCATAAGCAAATTGACAAAGTGTTTCTAATTGTAAAATTTGATTACATAAAATATAAAATATAATTTTGATTACATAAAATATAAAATCTATTGCTTTGGCTTTATTAAACCAAGCATTGTAATCTGATTCTGTCTCTATAAATGAATCAATGTTGATATGAATTTTCTACTGAGAAACATACTTGGTCATGTGGGTTGAGAAAGTGTAATTTAAACAAAATTTCTGTTTGTGACATTGTAGCAGCATGGTCTGTTATGAACCATTTTGACACTACTGTTGAAAACCTAAATAGGTCTACCCCTGGGTACTGAGAGTAGGCAACAGGTATATATTCACATGAGTCTGTAAGAGCTTAGCAACCATTAACATCTTGAACTTAAATCACTTACCAATATATAAACTGTGTCCTGTTGATTGTACATGTGGGTACCATGTGGCAATACCAGCTCACAGCTTAGAGCTGAACACCAGAAGTTAGACTACATGCATTTGACTGAATGGAAGCTGCCATGCTGCAATGGTTCTCACTAAGGAGGGTGGGGATAAGAACTGACCCCAGATCTCATGTGCTGAGTTATTGAACCCTGAGTATTGACTTTGTCTTTCTCTTCTCCTAGTTCATAGATGTCGACAATTTCCTGACTAATCCACAGACCCTGACCCTAATGATTGCAGAGAACAGAACCATTGTGGCCCCCATGCTGGAGTCCCGGGGCCTGTACTCTAACTTCTGGTGTGGAATCACACCTCAGGCAAGTCTTTTGGTTAGGTAACTGAGGAGTGTTGAAAAAGCATGATCGGGTCAATGGTAGCACCCCTTCTCATGTCCTCTTTAGAGACGTATGTGCCAGTGTCACTGCAGAAAGGAGGTAAACCTACAGCAAATGCCCCAACCCAGTGGGCATTATAAACAATATATTCTACAGAGCTTAGTGCTAGAAGTTTCAATTAACCAATAAGTATAATAGATTTTGTTTTCCCTTTTATCCAGGTCAGGGATTAATTGATTTGTTTTTTACAATTAAAATATCAATACAAAAGTCCATCAGAAAAAAAACTTAGAAGTACAAAAAAAGTATTTTAAAAAAGCATAATAGCCAAAAATATTCATCCCACCACTATACCAACACTATAGACACTTGCATTTCTTTAATGACTATACCATGACCAAAGGATATCCATAATTTACTTAAACTTCTTATTTCAACATCCAAGTTGTTTCCAAGCATTTTAACAATTACAATTACTACCATCAATGATGCAACATTTTTGCATCTATATAAGATTTCCTTAAGATAATTTCTTGGATCTTGTCCTCTCTTACTGTCCTATTGCTATGAGGAAAGACCATGACCAAGGCAACTTGAAGGAAAGCATTTGATTGGGGGTTTGCTCATGGTTTCAAAGGGTTAATCCTTGATCATCATGGCAGGGAGCATGGCAGCAGGCAGGCATGTAGCTGAAAGCTCATGATATTGGGGGAGGATGGCAGGCATGGCTTGGGCTTTTAAAACATCAAAGCCTACCCTAGTGACACATCTTCTACAATGAGACCACACCTCCTAATCCTTCTCAAACAGTTCCACTAACTGGGGAACTGAGATTATAGATGCCATTCTCATTCAAATGACAACAAACATGGAATCACTGAGTCAAAGTGTATTCTGATGATCTTTGATATAGATCAATAAATTTATTTTCATAGAGTTCTGACGATTGAAACTGACATAGAAGCTTGCTTTTCAAAAGTTGAAGTTAAAAATGTAAATTTCTAATTCTGTTTTTGTAGTCAATCTTAAATTTTAGATATTTATTACAGTAAATACTGATAAGCATTTTATTTGAATTCTTAGTGAATTAGACAGATAAATTAAACTCACCAATGTAATGTAGCTATATAAGACAAAAATGCAATGAAGAGGGAAGTGTGTTCTCATGGCCAGAGAACTAAGTTTTGTCTCTCTTTTTATGTTTGATTTGGCTTTAAATGAGGAATGAGGCCAACAGTGTGATGAGTACTTAAATCTGGCTTTTGCAGAGGGAACCCTAATTGGTAGCATGTTCTAATTTTTATGGTGTAAATACTCCTTTCATACAAGGAATTGCAATGTAGACACCTGATAATATAGCTATTAAAAATACATAACAAAGCAGGCATGGTGACCCTGTACTCAGGAGGCCAAAGGCAAGAGGATGAAGAATTCCAGGAAATGGGGCTGGAGAAATGACACTGTCCATGTAAAAGTCCATGCCTAGTCTCATGTGTGCCTATAACCCAAGTGCTACTGGGTGTTGAGCCAGTAAGAGCACTGTAGAATGCTGGTTACCATACCAACTCCAGGATCATTAAGATAACCTGTCTTGTTTATTTGTTTCTAGTCAGGGTTTCACTGTGTAGCCCTGGCTGTCCTGGAACTCACTTTGTAGAGATAACCTGTCTTAAAAGAATAAGGAGGATAATGATTGAGCAGGATACTTAAGATCTTCCTGCCTTCTATATGTGTTCATGGGTGTAAGTATTTCCCCCAAAACAGGTGTATATACCACATACACACACACAATCATGCACATACACAGACACATGTTGTGTAACAAGACTTTTCCTGGGGAGCTGCTATGCATACATCTCTTCACTCCAGATAGGAAACCCATGACAGACCAACAAACACATACCACTGAAGTCCAACTTGGTAAATTCTAAGTTTTATTGAGATTTCTCATAGGAATATAAGGGGCAGAAATGACTCAAAACAGTACATCACCAAAGCCCACTCCAGCACAGGTGGTGGTGCCCAAAAGTTGGAAACCTGGAGCACACCGTACAGCCTGCAGGCAGCTCAACAGGTTGGAGAGTGTCCCATCCCAGAGACGCAGTTGGTCTAAACCTCTTGCAGGCAGCTTGGGGAGTTTCTGTTTATCCCAAGCAACTGGAAGTTTGGTCTCAGGGTCTTCTTTACAGTTTGACTTGTAGAAAGGGTTTCTGCCCTGCCCGGTTCCCCAGCCTTTTCATTCCAAGTAAACACATAGAGACCTATATTAATTATAAACTGTTTGGCCGATGGCTCAGGCTTTTTACTGGCTAACCCTCTCTTAATTATTAACCCATAACTATTAATCTATGTTTTTCTACATGCCTTATCTTACTGGAGAATGCCTGGAGTACTATCTTTCTTGTACCTACATGGTGTCTCTCTGGAGGCTCCTCTCTGCCTTCCTGTCCCCAAAATTCTCCTTGTCTGGTAGCGCCGTCTATACTTTCTGTTTGGCTACTGGCAATCAGTGTTTTACTCATCAACCAATAAGAAAAACATATATACAGAAGGACATCCCCCACCATTGGCTAATCTGAGAATTCCCTGCAGGATAGAATGTTTCAATCAACACACACACACACACACACACACACACACACACACACACACACACACGGGTGGAGGAAGAGAGAGACGGGGGAGAGAGGGCCAATTGAGCATGATTGTGAACGGTATAATCCCAGAATTTGGAAAGAAGGATAATTCACAGGCATCCTCAACTACATAAGGAAGTCAGAGCCTCGGCTACCTCAAATCTTGTCTGAAATAATCAGAACAGAAACAGAAAACAAGAATTCAAGGTTAATGTAAACTGCATTATAACACCTTGTCTCAAAAAAAAACAAGAAATTCTCACGTGAATGGTAAGGGTTGACATGACTTTTGCTTTTACATGTTTTAATCTGCCAAGATCTCAAATGGCTTGCAAATTGCTGAAAATGTAATAACCAGTGGCCCCAACATAGCACTAAACCAGGAATTCCTCTTTTGTTGCATTAGAGTCCTTGTTTCTAAGAGATTTTGAATGATTCTTACCATCTACTTGTTTTTGAAGGAGACAAGTTGATGTGTAGAAAGTTTATTCAGTACTTTGCAGGAAAGCATTGTATTAAGTTAGCACAAACTTTTCATTAACAATCTGCACTGTTGCACGTGCAGGGCCACCTGAGGCTTGTTTTGAGTGAGTTCTGCTTTGCCACCAGCAACAGCAGTGAGAGGAGGTTATCCCAGCAACAGCAGCTTCCAAGTTTCTGTTAGTTCCTTATTAAAAGTGAGTAGGAAGAATGTGATCATCTATTTTTCAGAGTAAAACTCAATTCTGTGCAGTCTTGGCCAATTATAGTCATCTTCATCTGTTTCTGGCTTTCTTCCATCCTAGTACATTTTCAACTTGGACAGGAAGGAAAACGGCTAATGACTTCATAAGGTCCAAGGCAGCCCTACTTTCCAGAACCTTTAAACACATCCCAGTCGAAGTCATATTGCCATTGCCTGGCTAATGAGCATCACCTAATATCAATAAACTTCAGTTCTTTTGAAAGAATGATACAACTATTGTGTCCACCTCTCTTTGGGAAGCTTGTCAATTCTTTTTTTCCTCTGTTTCCTTTCCTACCATCTCTCTGAGGATACTCAATGGTTTATCGTCCTCCTAAAATTTCCAAGTTTCTCATCCTAACAGTATTAGCTTGAATCTGTAGGGAACCTTTTGAAAAACCAATGTCCCCATTATCCCTTAAAGATCTCCAATAGTCTGAAGCATTAGGGGAAGCCAGTGCTCTAAGGTCAAATAGGTAGCAAGCAAGTGGTTATGATGACTGTAAGACTCACATCTCCCAAGTCTCAGCTTATGGTCCTTTGGCCTTTATCATATGGGGTGGTTGGATTAGTAGCCCAGCTAACTCTTCTTCACACTGAAAGGAGTATCACAGTAGTAGAAGGAGATGCAGTACCTGTTGCATGGTGCTGACCTCACAACCAGAAATGCACCATATAGGAGTAGGAGTGCCTACAGAATACTTAGAAACTTGGGTATCCAGTGAGCATTGTGTGCCTCTAGTGGTAGTCTTGTGAAGCTTTCCAGTCATCCCCCGGAAATTCCGGTTTCTATCACACGTTCTGTAAATGCTTTTCAAATCTTCTACATACTTCAGAGAGACATATTGTCCTTTGTGACTAGTATCACTGGAGTAGATGTCCTCTACAAGATTCTACACCCCACATGGAATAGTCCTGTACTATCTCATTTATTAACTGTCCATCATTAGCTGAATTACAGCAGGCATTCCATGGGAATGTGTTGGATGAAATTAAATTTGGATGGAAAACAAATTGACACGCACCAAAGTAATTGAAAACCACAAAGTGGGAGGACAGATTGTCCCATGCTCTCATACAGGAGAAAGTGTTAAAATGGGGGTTGGGAGTTCCCCCCAAAATGTGAAGCAGTTAACTTCTTCACTGAAATACCAAGTCAGCAATTGCACTGAAAAAAGTCCTGGAGATGTATGTGGAAATCATATGCATCAAAAACATTAGCCAAGTGTAGCATAGTCATTTCAATGCTAGCCAATAATGGTTGGTGCTTTCTTAATGTTAGACATTATTCTAAGTACTTCATAGTTCCACCTTGCTTAATTGTATAGGGAAAATACCTTTGAGGTAGATAATATTAGCTGTCCCTGTTTCAGAGCTGGAGGGAAGGCACAGCAAGGTTGAGACACCTATAAACAAGAGGGAACTGAGACAAGGCATTGAATCAGACATGTGTTCATACTTGTCTTCACTACCCCCTTTTGTATTAATATTAATCCTTCACATTTAGTCATAAGCCTACGTGCACTACACTTTGTGAAATTATTAAATCAACGGAAATTGGATAAAAATGGTTCCTGATGTCAAAATCCCTCTGTGTTTTAAATGCAGATTCATTTCTGGGGCACATTTAGAAATGCTTGGTCAGGACAAGGAGAGAGGAGACGGTCTGGAACTTTCTGTTGACCTGTGATAGCAGATGACGGGATGGCAATGCTTCCAATGAGAGAACATAGTCTGTTATTTGCTCTCTTCCAGGGCTTCTATAAGCGGACACCAGACTACCTTCAGATTAGAGAGTGGAAGAGGATGGGCTGCTTTCCCGTCCCCATGGTCCACTCCACCTTCCTGATTGACCTCAGGAAAGAGGCCTCCAACAATCTGGCTTTCTATCCCCCTCACCAGGACTACACCTGGACCTTTGATGACATCATTGTTTTTGCCTTCTCTAGCAGGCAAGCAGGTACTGTTTGTGCTTGGCTGTAGGCTGCCATGGAAACATGACATGTCCCTGTGTCCTGTGCATATTTAAAAACACCTCAGTCTCAGTTTCAAGCCTGTGAGAGCGATAAACTGTTCTAACCATGCCAGAATCCTCTGTGTTGCTGTTCTTGAGGGCCAAAGATGAAGAGAAGGGGCTGGTTCCACACAGACTCCAGTCCCTTCTGAGGAGGATCTGAGTTGATGGGGGGACAGTGATAATGACAGCCTTGAAAAACTCACTGACTCTCTAGAGCTAATGGTTTTGCTATTGCTAATTTCAAGAATCCTATTATTAATTTAGAACCTAGAACAATACTGGTAAATTCTCCAGGATTCACACATCGAACCGTTTCTTCTCAAATAATCTGTACTGCTGTAGTGACTCTGTCCCACAGTTCTTAGCAGCCCAGATTTTTTCTTCATTATCTTTTCATAATTCAGGAGGCATTGCCCTTAATGTAGGATTCAAGCTCCCTCAGCACCAAGGATGCTCTATGGATGAAGGCAGAAACTGGACTATAGGACTCTGCTCCTATCAGAGTGCAATCCAGAAGTTGAACACAGTACTTCCATGCATGTCTCCTTAGTCAGAACTTAACAAGGGGTCACTTCCTCACTTGGAGGGAGGCTCAGAATGTCATCTTCTTTCTGTGTGGTCATAAACCCCACTCTCTCACTCTTGGGAACAGATATTGGAGGTAGTCATCGGTCCCAGCCTCCATCCCAGACTTAAGCACCTGGTGAGTCACTATGGCCACTGGATTTTGTGGGCTTCTTGACAAAACCAAACCACTAGGAAGGAAAGGTGTTTTGTTTTTCTTCTCTCTTTTTTCCCCTCTGCTTCCTCCTCCCATTTTCTTGGGAAGACTAATTCATAAAACTAGTTCAGGAAGATTCCTGCCTTTCCTAAGGTACTTTCTTAAGTACCTCAGGCCTTCCTGACAGCAGCGAGGGCCTGTTAGCCTAACAAAATGAGTTTAGAAACCAAGAAGATGGTGAAATAAACTCATGATGGCTACCTAAGTTGTGGAGAAAATGATTTTTGCAAAGATCCCTGGCATCTGGGGAGATTGCTGAAAAATGAGAATGTTAGCACAGATCCACAAGACACACAAGACCCAGATGACCCACTCACTGGTGTACGTTTGAGAAGAAAGAGGACATTTTGTAGAAATGGTAAGGTCGATTTTCCTGTTTGGTAGGATAATTTATAGTGCTTGGCAGACATTTAGGGAGCCTTGTGTTAAGAAAGGGCACTCCTCATTAGGTCTGAAAGTTTGCACGAAGGTTCTTGTGTCCATGTTAATGGGAGCTGCTTCTCGATGTGTGATTTGCTCTGATTTCTCCATAGCCAGAAGCAGAGGCAGGGCCTTCCTGTTCCAGCAAGTTCTGTCAAGCCTTCGCTTCAGAGTTTGAAACAAGGAGAAGTGAGCTGCTATGATTATGGTGATGGTCAGTGCACAACAGACCTCTTTTATACCCATTGCACAAGACACAGTTGAGACCCAGGGGTTAAATAATGATATGTCTATTTTAAACTAACATGCAAGTGTTAGGCCTGAAAAATGGATGCAGAGTATCCTGGAATTTTCATCTTTGCCATTTGTATGGCCTGTTTGCCAGTCAGGCTTCCCAGATATATTCCTGGGTTATTAAAAGCAGATATGGATGCCCAAACCCATTGGCAAGTTGTCTGAGGGGAACTAGAGGTGGAAAAGGAAAGAGGTCCTACAATTTTGTCTGGCATTGTGTTAGAGTTTGTAATTGTTGGGGAGTTCAGATCCTTAGCTGTGGAAACATAACTAAGTTTTGATACCTATGAGCACTGAGGGCTAACACAAACAGGGCAGGAGAGAATTACTGAAGGCTACTGCCTGGCAGCTGTGCGTTCTGAGGTCGTACTTCAATAATGTTTTCAAATTTCATTGATTTTTCAGAAGAAGGACAAATGAACCTGGGAGCTACCTTAGCCCGTGGCACGTCTCAAGGCTCTCCCTTTCTTCATCAGGTCCAAAGAAAAATACTTCTCCCTCCCTTGAGAGAGACTTTGTAAAAAATGACTGGTATTCTTTTGTTTCCACTGTTCTAAAATTCTCTGGATGTGCATTATCCATCAGAACATAATTTTTTAAATGGACCAAAAGAAGCAAATTGTCTCTCTGTACTAAGCAGGACCATGGGAGTCATAGACAAGTCTCTGTGGCAATAGTGAGGCCAGGGGTAAGAATGTGGCTTCCATGCGGCTAGGGATTGGACTTCTGAATCGTGACTACAGGAGCCCTTCTCTGTGCTAGCCGAGCATCTTCCAAGTAATCCACTGTAGCCAAACACATGGAAGTGCATTCTGGTGTAGGGATGCCAGTCCCAGGGGCTAATGGCCTGACACTAAACTGTAAGCTCCAGGTGGAGAGAGAGAGAGAGAGAGAGAGAGAGAGAGAGAGAGAGAGAGAGAGAGAGAGAGAGAGAGAGAGAGAGAGAGAGAGAGAGAGAAGTTGGAACCAATCCTTGGGGACAAAGATTTGGTACTAAAGACTTACTGTGGAGCCCTGGGCCAATCACAGCCTGAGTCCGATTTCTCATCACAGGGAAAGAGATTATTCATCAGTCTTTGTTATTTAGGTCTATGTGGCTCAAGAAAGCGTTTGGTGTCTTCCTAAAGATAACAAAGCACTTTCCTCACAACACTTGCCTCTCCTTCTCAAAGATTCACCAGAAATTGTTACTACAAGATAATCTCAGAGTCTTTAATTGTCAACGTATCTCATTTTTTAATCATATTATCCATGAACATAGTTGAAAGAGCCCAGTGACCTATGCTTTATTAAAATGAGTACTCCCAACATGCCACTCTTGGAAATGGGTACATAAGTATATTATGTATATCTTTGTTTTTAAGTAGCACGCACCCTTCTTCTTTTCTTTGTCTTAGCTTCCCCCCTTCCAAATCAACCCTCCATTACAGACAAGGATAAGTGAGCTCACTCCCCTTTGGCCTTCTATTGGAAACACATTCTCCTTATCACCGTGTCCTCTCTATGTCATTAATATTTTGAGTGTTGGGGGTGAGTAAGTGGCTTGGTAGTCAGGAACATGTGCTGCTCTACAGAGGACTTGGATTTGGTCCCCAATATCCACACGGTTGACTCACAGCTGCATGTGCCTCCCTTTCCAGGGAATCTGTGACAGCTTCTGGCCTCTTTGGATACCACACACACATGTGGTACACAAGCAAGCATAGAGGCACTCACACATACACTCAAATAAAAACAAATCTTTTAAAAATGCTGCAGGTTTTTATTATAATCACATGATCATAAAATACCAGATCACTATAAAATTTTCTTTTATCAAACTTAGTAATTCTCTCTCTCTCTCTCTCTCTGTGTGTGTGTGTGTGTGTGTGTGTGTGTATGAAAAAGACAGAGATCACTAGTAAAACTGAAAGCCAATTATTTATTTTCTCAAACTTCTAGAGTAGTCATAATTATCAACCGTCCCCTTTTGCATGTTAGAAGATTCTGTCACAGCCATCGACTTGGAGCTAAGTGTGCTTTTGCCCTGCATCACCTTTCTTGTGTCTTGAGTCTTTCTTGTGCATGGTGATCTTTCTCCTTCTCCTTATGCACCTCCTCTCTTCTTCTTTCCTCGTCATCTAGCAACTTGCTGAGAAAGTGTGATGGGAGGTAAATATTTCATAGACTTGCATTTCATGTCTGAAAGTGCCTTTCTTATACCTGCTCACTTGCTGGACAGTTTGGCTAGGTATCATATCACCTTTGTATGGAAGCCTTGGGACATTAAATGGTTAAAGGGGGTTTGTCTAACTAGAATAGAGAGGCAATCTAAACTTGAGTCTTTTTTTTTCTACTTTCTTAGTTCATTACAACTTTGTAAAAAGTCACATTCTGGTTTGTAGTTCCAGAAACATTCATGTGAGCAAATAGCACAGCTAATGAGTTCAACTGAAGAAGGCAACAGAGGTGACAGCACCTGGTGAGACCAACCAGAATCAGGAAAGGTGGAGGACAAAAGCCCTTTTCTTTCCTTGTTCTTCTCTGCTAATCCAATAAGACAACTTCACCTGGCTTGGTGGGTGATGCAGCTGACTGCTGGAAATTTCATCTGCCCCAAATAAAGATGTCACAATGTGGATAATTTCCTCAGGAAAACACCAATGATTATAGCAATTAACAAGTCAGAGGCTTGGGTGCATAGTTCGAAGTTTGGCAGGTGTGTCCTTGTAACTAAGTAAACTGGTTCCATTGCTGGAACTAAGACCATTTTGAGTCCTCATTCCTAACTGGATTCACAGAGAGAGGTTCTTTTCAGTTCTCCAAGTTCACTGGTGGGGGCTGTGAATACTAGAGCTGAATATAAGAGAACTGTGGCATTGCTGGCACTGCCACACTGCAGGTTCTTAACAAGGTTTGATAGCAAGGATTATTTTTGTCCCTTTATGGACTTATTTTTGAGAATTTTGTTCATTGGTCACTCCAAATCCATGCCAGCCACCGGGGAAAAATAAAACCAAGAAGACTCATGCGAAATTATAAATGTCCTTCGTATCTTTTAAATGTTTTGTTTTTGTGTGCTTGGATTTAGCTCTAATAATCTGTCAGCCTTATAGGATCTCCCTGTGTGCTTTCATGTCAAATATGGATCTCATTCCTCATCTTCTTATTATTTCCTTTAGATGGATTAGACTGTTCCGTTCTGCTCTCTGGAATGGGAAACACTTCTTCCTGTCTGATTCCATGCCTTTAACTATTCATTTCAGGTCACAACTGAGCTTTTATTTAAGAAAGAAAAATCAATTTCCTCTGGACTGAAGGATGGCCCATGGGTTTTGAAGAGCCCCCAATTCTGTTTCAATTTTTTAATAAAAGAATATTTTAAGGTTCTATAGTCAGTTCCCCAAATAAGCCATTTGTTCAGTTTCAGTGTTGAACTCAGTGTCAGCCAGAGCCCAGTCTCCATCTCTTACTACGAAGTGTGGTTTTGATTGATTGACTTTGTTCTCTCAAATCTTCAGGCATCCAGATGTACCTCTGCAACAAAGAGCACTATGGCTACCTGCCCATCCCTCTGAAGCCCCATCAGACGCTGCAGGAAGACATCGAGAACCTCATCCATGTGCAGATAGAAGCAATGAGTGAGTGACTGGGGATCCAGGGCTGTAAAATCTCTAGCTAGAGGCAAGTGAGATGTCAAACCATACAGGATATTCACTAGGCAGTAGAAACCAGCTACTGGGAGAGTTATTGGGAAATAATGATTGAAGCATGGGAACATGTAATCTTCCAGAATAGATGTGGGATCCATACCTGTGATAAGTCACTCCACAAAGGTACTAGGAAGTCCAAACATTTTACAGCCAACCCTCGGTTTTCAGAGGATCACAGTTTAATTGGGGAGACAGGACTAATATTAAAAACACACCAATAGTACAGTGTGCTGTGAACGGAGCCAATGCAAAGGCAACAGGAACTTAGAATAGATTTACTGTGGCCTCTGTGGTCACGCTCAGCCCCGATGCTTCTTCAGGCAATCTTGGGGAGAAGTGGGTAGGTTAAACAAGAGGACGGACACTACAGGACGAGGGAAGAAACTGAGAAGATAAGCAATTTCCATCCTGGAAGAGAGTGGGCTAAAATATTAGGAGTAAAGCTTAAGAAGTTGAAGTGGCTTGACTAATACGGTCCTTAATTAGATAGTCCAGAAAAAGTAGAGAATTCATCCTAAAGAAAACCAATGAAGGCTTTGGAGGGAGTAAAAGGTCAGGCTAGAAACAATCACTCAACACATGCATAGTGCATGATTTCCCATAATAATGAAATACAGCAATGAACAAAACAAGCAAAACCTTGCCATCAAGAGCTTATATTCTATCAGAGACATAGGTAATATATCAAGGAAGCAGTTACACGAATCTTTGGGGGAAGAATTCTAAGCAGAAAGAACAATACACATAAAGACCACTAGAGAGGAGAAATCTTGGGAGTGTTCCAGGGCCAGAGGGCAACATGGTGGGTAATGAAGAGCCGGGTAGAGGGAGATGAAGTCGTGGATGGATACAGAACACACTTGGCCAAGGCAAGGAATTCAGATTTTATCCTAAGAGCAATGTGAACCCATAGGGTGGTGTGATGTGATTTATGTATTTAGAAAGACCACTTAAGCACTTAAGTACTAGAGTGTAAGGGATTAATACATTTATCCTGCTGAGAGATGTTAGTGGTTGAGATCTGAGCTGCAGCAAGGAGGTAATGAGAAACAGACAGGTTTAAGGTCCATGTTAATGGCAGAGCCCATTGTACTTATAGAGGCTTGGAGGCAGTCCATAAAGCAAAGGGGGAATTAAGAACGACTCCAATAGTTTGGTCCATATAACTTACTGAGTCAAAAGGCTTCACTTCATCATGTATTCCTGAAGTATTTATTGCATGTCTGAATAGAGAGGCCAGGAGATAAGTAGATATATGAATCTGTGAGTTCAGGGAAGAGATTCCATTGAGAGAGACATTTGAGAATCATTAACACCACAAGGATATTTGAAGCCAAGGAACAGTGTGACCTCATGTAGTAAAACAAAGGACAGATCCCCAGAGCAGACCAACGGCCAGAAAGCTGGGAATTAATAAGGAGGTATGTTTTGCGAAAGAGCCAAATGTTGTTGGGACGCCAAGTGAAACGGGGATGAAGAAGTGACCATTGGGAATGTCACACTACAGCACTGTACCAGATGCTCGTGCCTGTAATCCTAATACTTAGGAGGAAAGGCAGCAGCCTCAAGAGTTTCGGGCTAGCCTGAGCTACATAGCAGGTTCCAAACTATCCTGGGCTACAGAGCGAGACCCTGTCAAGAGAAAAGAGGAGGAGCAGAAAGAGAGCTGCCATCAGTTTTCTAAGAAGCACTTTGATGCAGTGGCAGGGGCACTGGCTGCTTGGAATTGGTGAGCAGCAGACAATGGAGAGATAAGAAGAAGGGATCGTGACAGGATGTGGGATAGAGAAACGGATGGTGCTGCTGCAGGGACTGCAGACAGCTGTCCCTGCCCTGTCCTGGAGCCTAGGGTGCTGAAACGGTCTAGTTCCCGACCCTCTCTCTAACAAAGCACTCCGTTTTTTCTGTCTTCCAGTTGACCGTCCTCCAATGGAACCCTCTCAGTTTGTGTCCGTTGTCCCTAAGTATCCAGACAAGATGGGATTTGATGAGGTAGGAAAGTCTCTCCCTCCCTCTCTCCCTCTCTCCCTCTCTCTCTCTCTCTCCTCTCTCTCTCTCTCTCTCTCTCTCTCTCTCTCTCTCTCTCTCTCTCTCTCTCTCTCTCTCTCTCTCTCTGGTGTGTGTGTGTGAGAGAGAGAGAGAGAGAATATTCACATAAGTGCAGACCTGTGTGTTCATGTTGAAATAAAAGAACAAGCACCTGTCTGAGCAAGTAGGCAAGCTTGACTACTGGAAAAGCCTTGAGGACTTGGGCTTGTTATCATTCTATCTTCTGCTCTTCACGAAGGAGGATCATAGTAAAAAGAGTCAAAAAAGAATTATTTAGCAATGAATGTGAATTTGCCATGCACTTTTATTGAGGTTCAAGGGTAAGGTAAAGAGGGTTTATGTTCTAAGTTCTGGAGACATTAACTATTCTTCCATAGGTGAGTAGATGGAAACTATTCTAGAACATTCTATGTTTTGTTTTCTTTCTGCCTTTCTTCCACGGAAAAAGGTTGGGGGACAGAGTTGGAAGGACAAACGAAGAAAGAAACATGTTCTAAAATCCTGTCTTTCGGCAGGCAGGAACTTTTGGCAGTTCCCTAGGGCCATATCTACTGTGCAGTTGTAAGTGCGTAAATAACAAAGCAGAGGTGGGCCTTTAGCTCAGTGGTAGAGCACTTTCTTAGGATAAGTGAAGTCCTGGGCCCAGTTCCTAGCACCACAAATGAAAGGGGGAGGGGAAGGGAGAGAAAGAAAAAGAAAGGGGGTGGGGAAATGGGGAGAGAGGAGAGTGCTGAGGGAAAGGAAGGAGGAAGGAGGGGAGAGAGGGAGGGAGGGAGGCAGAAGAGAAGGAAAGAAGGGAGGGAAGGAGGAAGGGAGAGAGGGAGGAAGGGAGGGCAGGGAGGGAGGCAGGGAGGGAGGGAGGGAGGGAGGGAGGGAGGGCAGGCAGAACATAGAGTTGCTTTTCTTGGTAGTGTGTAAAACAGATGGTCAGCAGGGCCGGAATTGTGAGTCTGTGTCTCTGAGCCCTTCCTGGCCCCTTATGTGCCAGCTGGTCAGTACTGAGGAGTTCTGTGGTCTGGAGCTATGACCTGCCAGAAGTCCACAAACTGAGACAGAATTCTGCCAGAAGTTCTGGATTTAAGCCAAGCATTGTGCTTTGAACTCAGTACACTTTAATGGGAGGAAAACACCTTATCATATTAACATCTGTGGCCCTAAAACAAGTCCATCCCAAGGAGCAGCTAAAGGGACTAGGAACTGGGATGTGTCCTACAAAACTGACTTAAGTCAGAAGTCCAAGAGTAGGAATGGGTGCTTGGTGAATATCAAATAGTGATCATGCTATTTCCACAGAAAGCAGAAAAAGGAGAGATGAATTTAAATGTAGCTAAGTATAAATAGACTCTATTCAGTCTATTTCTATTTACTAAAATTAGTAAATAGTTTTCAAAACTGACCAGTGCTACAAGGGTGGGCTGACCGGAGCCACAGGGGTGGGTGTGCCCTACCTGGGGTGAGCCCTCCCCAGGGTGGGCCTTCCCCTCCCTCTTCCTCCTTCCCTCCCTTCCCCTCCCTTCCCCTCCCTCCTCCTCCTTCCCCCTCCCTCCCTCCCTCTTGCTCTTACTGAGTGTAGCTCTTATTCCGTGGGGCAATGAACTCTCCTCATTCCCTAGGAGAGAGGCTCAAGTGTCTTTCCTTATCTCCCTTTTTCCTCCTGGAGTCATATTTCTGTGAGGGCCAAATCGCAGCAAATGAAACAGAACCAGGACCATCTGGCTCCGCCATGGGCAGGACTTGGTGTTAGGCCAGCCCTAGAAAGTGAGGTGGGCAGGGACTGGGCTTTCCACAGCCCGGGGATAATCATCTCTCTGTCTGCAGCAGACATGGGCTGTGGAAAAGGGGTGTCAGAGGCCTTTTCCGTCCTCCCTTGCTGTGACCTGGTTGCTGGTGTCTGGCTGCATTTGGCACTCAGTTCTTTGCTGTTTACTGAGTATGAGCGAGCCGTCTGTGTTTTTCCTTCGTGGCTACTGACTTTATTGCCCTTGCCCTGGCAGGGCTGGGAAGGGACTATTATTTACTGAGAGCTTCCTCGACTGGAGGCCTCTGGTTTGCAGGGAACTTTTTTTGGATGCTTCTTTGTTTATTTTGTTTTGTTTTTCTTTGCCTCCTCGGGTGACCCCAGGTGGCTCCCTGGTTGTGCAGGGGATATGCCATTTCCTTCCTATGTCTGTAAAACCTGGGAATGAAACATAGCCCTTGACAGGATTCTAGAGAGGGAGAAAACGAAGCATGAAGGAACACAGCGCTTTAAACTATCAAGTCCCCAGTATACGGCACACATAAATAATGACTTTTTATTTTATTAATAATTATCCAGTTGGGTAAACCAAGGAGTCAAATCCTGCTGCAGGCACCTGCCGAGCCCCATCACACGGAGATGTTGTAAAAGGGCTCTGTTGCTCCCGTGAACCTATCTGTGAACAGAGATAAGACTGTTTTGCAAGGGAAAATTGAAAGCTTAGTATAACTTTCTGATCCTGCTAAAACATATATTTTAAATTATATTCAGGATTATCACTGAGCTAAAGCTCCTGATACAATATAACCTGAGTCCCAACCTGATTATAGGATGAAACCAACTTTATCATAAGACAGATATATACAAGTTTTCTTATGTACGGGTCTTGAGGGGTGACTTTGTTCAAACACCTCCTTTTCTAGATAGCAGAGCTAATGACCCAGAGGCATTAAAGGTCTTCCCCAGAGTCACCCAGAGGGTTAGTCCTCTGCCATGTCTCTTGCTTAATCAGGAGGAAATGAGTGTCCTCTGCCCTGTTCCTACAGGTTGCTCCTTCATTATGACATAAATTCCTGCTGGCAGCTAACATCTCCCAGTTTCAAACTGTTTAATATTCAAATTCAGTTTGTTACCACCTGTAGCAAGAGGTCCTTATTCAAATGGTAACTTATAGATGGATAAGATAATTCTGTGAATGAAGTACCTGCTGCCAAGCTGGAAGATGTGTGTTTGATCCTGGGACCCATATGGAAAGAGAGAACTAACTCCTGTAGATTGTCCTGTGACCTCCACACACGCACCATAGCACCTGCAGGCACACATTTATACTATGCACACTATGCACACTATACACACTACGCACACTAGCTAATCAAATAACTATAAAGTGCTAACTTACCTGCAACTGTGTTCACCAGGCTTTAGTTGCCTTGTGATGTCTATGTATTAGCGCTGCCGTCAATCAGGCATTGACAGTCAGAGTGAGGGGTGCGGGGGCACCCAGTCCTCTCTCAGAAACATGGCATGCACATCCTTCCTTATTCACAAGCCTGCAGATGGCCTCTGTAGAGCACACTACAAAAAACTCATACCCAAGCTACATTTTGCAGTACACTCCTCTGTCAAGGGTAGCCCCCAAGGGAATGGCCTTGTTTTCTTCTATTTCTTTTTTTTCCTCTTAGCTCTAGAGAGCTGAAGAATTCTGACAAACAACAAACCATCCTCTGAAACTGAGATCTTGACATTCATGCTCCATGAAGTCACTCCATGAAGACTCAGATTTTTCTTAGTTTTTGAAAGATGTAAAGTTTACCCTTATAGGATGTGAGCTGTGGTGATACCAAGCACAGTACTCATGGGGCAGAGTCACGTGGTCCCAATTCCTGGATGAGGAAACTGAGGCATAGGGGCAACAGGCCTAAGACAGACAGGACAAACAGTATCAAGAACACAGGGATGCCAATGCGTTCAGCCACTTGGTTTGACTTAGCTATTTGGCAAACCACTTCCTCCCTATCGGGGCTGTGTGCATGCAGCGTAAATCACCTTTGGCCTTTTGGGTGGTATTTTTTTACTTTATTTTCTCAAGCGAAGAGTGAGTGATATTATCAGTGAATATCATGGAGACAGCAGGTTAGGCCACTCCTGATGGCTGCACTTGGAAATCATCTCCATTGTGATAAATAGCATTTGCCACCCCCGCCCCACGAGCCTAACAAGGAAATCCGGCGCTGTACGGCTTTCTTCCCGTTCCTTATTCTGCAAACCCCTCTGGTCCTGCATTTGTCTTGCTGAGCTTTTCAAACAACCTAAAATAAACCTTGAGTCACCTGTGTCTCTTTCCCCTTTTGCTTCCCGCGTTAGATTTTCATGATTAACCTCAAACGCAGGAAGGACAGGCGGGACCGGATGCTGCGCACGCTCTACGAGCAGGAGATTGAGGTCAAGATCGTGGAGGCCGTGGATGGGAAGTGAGTCTTCCTTGCAGGTGTGCTTGGAGCAGGGTGGTGCCTTCCCCGACTGAGGAGGAGTCCTGGAGGGAGGGGCATGGCCATGGGGGACAGATGCTTGGGAGGATGCCCGTTGTAGCAGTGATGCTCGTTTCCGAGTTGGCCTAGGACCCACTCCCCAGCCAGTGATCTCTGAGTCTCACACCACTGGAGAAGATTGCCCTGTCTCTGTCCACTCTCAGAGCTGAGGTGGTTTCCAGTTTTCTCTCACGTAGTGAATGGGTTTAGAATCGTGTTCCGGTCTGAAGAAAACAAACAAACCAAACCAAGTCGATAAAGGTCTATGTGTCCTGTTGTGTGAGACATCTAGATTCCTCCCAGTCAGACCATAGGAAAATCAGACATACCCAGAACTGACTATGACTCAGGCTAGCCTTGAACTTGTTATTCTGCCGCAGCCTCCAGAGTGCTGGGGTTTACAGGTGTGTGTCAGTTTATATCTCCTACATTTAAACATTTGATCCATGCTGAGCTGAGTGTCATATATGATGTGTAACAGGGATTCCCTTCTTGTTTACATATGGTCATTTGCCTTTCCCTGTACCACTTACCTAACAACTACATTAACCCTCTGCAGTCTTGGTCATAAATGTAAGAGAATACTTCCGACCTCTTGATTCCATTACGTTAATCTACAGATCCAGCCTTACGCTAGTTCCACGCTGACTTCAGGACTGTAGCTTTTGAGTGTAAGGAAGTGTGAGTCCTGCACCTCTTTTACCGTTTAGCAAGGCTATTTTACATATTGTAGGTGCCTGGTGTTCTGTGAGTTTTAGTCGTTTTACACACACACACACACACACACACACACACACACACACACCAGCTTGGGTTTTGATAGGAGCTGCACTAAATCTACAGATCAGGTGAAGGAGTGCCAAGAATCACAAGTCTCTTGCTAGGTCTATGCCAGTTCTTTGAATGACACTTAGTTGTTTTCAGTTTATTCCTTGGTATTGTTGATGACATGGTAATAACATTATTTCTTTAATTTAATTTTTGAAGGTTTATTGCCAAATGTATACAAATACTATTGGTGTTGTATACCAATCATATACTCCACAGCCATATTTATCAGCTCTAAGTGTGTATGTGTGTGTGCGTATGCCCATTATTATTTCTTCTTTTCCAATCTGGATAGTACTTACTTCCTTTTCTTGCCTTATGGCCCTGGCTGTTGCCTTGAGTACAACATTCAAAAGAAATGATGAGAACTTATACTTTTGTCACATGTCATAAGATCATATTCCTCATCTCATAGAGAAAGCGTTTAGGATTTTTTTCTCTGTTAAGTACTGTATTAAGGGTACAGTTGTATAGAGTTAATGGGCTATACCTTATATTACTGTTTTCTTGTAATTTCTTAACATGAAAGTTTGTCAGATGCATCTTCCACCGAGATGATCACATAACTTCTTGTCTATCAACACGGTGCATTGATTTGCTACATCTTCACATGTTAAACAACACTTGCAATCCTGGGGAAAAATTTCACCTAGTCATGCATACAATCCCTCACTTCTGTTGCTAGATTCCACATACTAGTATCTTCTTGAAGATTCTACATCTATATTAACAGGAATATTGACCTGTAGCTTTCTAGTTTTGTTTCATAGAGTCACTTGGAATTGGTTCTTTCCTGCTCTATTTGTTTTGGAAAGGTTGTTAAGAACTTGTATTATTTCTTCTTTGAACCTCTGGCTTTAGGCTTCTCTTTGTAGAAGATTTCAGATTACTAACCAAACTTCTTTCCTTGTTTAGACTGAGAATTTCTTATTTTTCAAGCAATTTCAGTAATTCCACTGTCATATAAATTTGCATTTAATCTAGGTATTTTTAAAAAAATGGCAAACAAATATTTATAGTATAATCCTTTTTACTTCTATAAGACCAATCGTGTACCTGCTCTTTCATTCTTGAATTTAGTAACTGAATAGTAGTAAATGAATCTACTCGCTTTGTTAATTTGTAGGTCTAAGTAAAAGACCATTAGCTTTCTTGTTCTTTTCAAATAAACAGGCTCTCTCTCTCTCTGTCTCTCTCTCTCTCTCTCTCTGTGTCTGTGTGTGTGTGTGTGTGTGTGGTGTTCTGTATTGTTTTCTATTCTATAATTTATTTATTCCAATGTAGTCCTTACTCTTCTCTATTTCCTAGTTAATGTGAGTTTAATTTGCCTTTTCTTCCACTAGTTTTCAAAAATGGTTGGGTGGGTCACATGTATTCCTTTTTAATGACATTGTTACAGTTGTAATTGTGTGTCTAGGTACTAAATACTGCATTAAGTACAGTTCATAAGTTGCAATATCCTGTATTTTCACTCATTTCAAAATATTTTCTAATTTTCCTCATGATTTCATTTTTAGTCATAGATTATTTAGAAGTGTGTTAATTTCATGGGTTTGTTTATTTCTCGATTTGTGTTCTTATTAATCATTCCACTGTACCATTTTAATCGATGGAGGTTTGACTTAGGGTCTTTGTGGTCTTTATGGTCTAACGCATGTCTTTCTTGGAGAATGCTCCAGGTACACTTGAACACATGAATGCGTTGCTGTCATTGAATGGAGTGCTCTACAGATGTCTGTTAAGTCTAATTGGCTTCTAGTGTTTTTCAAGTTTTACTTATATGTAAGTGTTATGTCTTCCTAAATGATTTATCATCTCTCATTGTCTTTAGAATATATTTTCTCTGCAGGTTTATTTTTTCTGATAATAAAGCCCTTCATCTCTCTTACGGCTGCTGTTCACATCATGTATCATCTTACGGCTACTGTTCACATCATGTATCATCTTACGGCTACTGTTCACATCATGTATCATCTTACGGCTGCTGTTCACATCATGTATCATTGTCCACCCTTTTACTTTCAACCTGTTTGTGTTTTGAGTTGGAATCCTGTCTCTTGTAGACAGCATGTTGTTGGATTATTTAAAATCCCTTGCTGTTGATTGCAGTGTTGAATCCATTTGCCTTCACTACCTTTCCCTGCCTTCTAAGGGCTTAAAGTGGGAAGTAAGAGACTGGGTCTTTGAGACTTTTTATTCTGGGAAAATTTACAGCCTTGAGTATAGTCATGTGGCCACTTTCGGTGGCCACATGACCCCAGTTCTCACAACTCATGGTTTTGTGAGGTGACTGGTGTTTAAGGATGCTGTAGGACTTGGGAGAAAGGATTTCAATTAAGATAAATAGAAAGCTTACAAAACTAACTGTGCATGTAGATTCCATTGTTCTCCTTAACAAGCACTCCATGGATTATTGTGGGACCTTAGTTAATTTCCAGAGTTTTGGAAACCTGATGGTGGCCATTTAACCAGTGCCTTGTTACTTTTTTTTAATCATTTTTTATTTTAAATTTAAATAGCTTGTTTTACATGTCAATCCCAGTTCCCTCTCCCTCCCCTCCTCCCGCACTCCCCTTCCCCCCCACCCTCCCACCCTATTGCCAAATCCTTCCACATAGGGGATATCTAGAGTCTGTCATTTTACTCTGGGTAGGGTCCAGGCACTCCCCTAAGAGTCCAGGCTGAGAGAGCATCCCTCTTTGTGCTATAGGCACACGAAGACTGTTTGTATACCAGGGATAGACACTGATCCACAGCTCAGGGCCCCATAGGTTGCCCAGGCCTTCTCGCTGACACTCACATTTGGGGGTCCAGATCAGTCCCATGCTGGCCTCCACACTGTCAGTCTGGGGTCCAAGAGCTCTCCCCTGTTCAGATCAGCTATCTCTGCTGGTTTTGCCAGCCCATTCTTTGCTAATTTGCTCATCACTCCTCTCTCTCTGTCACTGGGTTCCTTGGGTTCAGTTCAGTGATTAATTGTGTGTTTGCCTCTGCTTCCATCAGTCACAGGATGAAGGCTCCCGGATGGTTATAGACATCAAGTTCATTATCAGGAATGGGCATTCGAGGTGGTCTCTCCACTATTGCTTAGCTTGCCAATTGGTGTTATCCCTTTAGATCACTCGAGGTCGCTCTGGTGCCTGATCTGTATTCGATCCTATGATTCCCTCTTCCCCCTATTCTACCCCCACCCCCTCAACTTCCTGTTCCCCCATGACCAACTCTCTTCCTCTTCACCCCCTCTCTTCTTCCCAGGTCCCACTCCCCCCCACCCCTCGCTGTGTTCCCCATCCATTCAGGGGATCTTGTCTCAATCCTCTTCTCTTGGGTACTATGCATATATGCATATCTTTTAGGTTCTTTCCTGTTTCCCAGACCCTCTATCAGTGGAAGTGCAGACTGGCACTATCCTGATCCATGTCTAAAATCCATATATGAGTGAGTACATACCATGTTTGTCTTTTTGCGACTGGGTTACCTCACTCAGGATGGTTTCTTCCAGTGCTATCCATTTCCCTGCGAATTTCAAGATTCCATTGTTTTTTTCTGCTGAGTAATACTCCATTGTGTAAATGTACCACATTTTCTCTATCCACTCTTCAGTTGAGGGGCATCTAGGTTCTTCCAGGTTCTGGCTATTACAAATAATGCTGCTATGAACATAGTGGAGCAGATACCCTTGTTGTATGAACTTGCCTCATTTGGATATATGCCTAAGAGTGGAATTGCTGGGTCTAGTGGTATATTAATTCCCATTTTCCTGAGGAATCTCCATACTGATTTCCAAAGAGGCTGTATGAGTCGGCACTCCCACCAGCAGTGGAGGAGTGTTCCTCTCTCTCCACATCCTCTCCAGCATAAATTGTCTTCGGTGTTTTTGATTTTAGCCATTCTGACAGGAGTCAGATGGTATCTCAGAGTTGTTTTGATTTGCATTTCCCTGATGGCTAAGGATGTTGAGCACTTTCTTAAGTGTCTCTTGGCCATTTTAGCCTCCTCTACTGAGAATTCTCTATTTAGCTCTGTACCCCACCTTTCAATTGGATCCTTTGGTGTTTTGGAGACTTGTTTCTTGAGTTCTTTGTAAATTTTGGAGATTAGCCCTCTGTCAGATG